ACACAGAAGGACATGCACACGTAAACACACACAACACTCCCTCATAGGCTCTATATCCAAGCCTATGCACCAGGGGTTAGAATTCCACTTTGACTTTTAAGAGACAATCTAGTTCCATGGAAAGACATGGAACAGGTGAATGTAGAACAGTAGTTTGAACAAGGGGAGGGAAACCTACACACGCTGCCACACGAATGTGAAAGATCTATATTTATGGCCACCTGCTCCCGGAAAAAACTGAATGCTAGTTAATCAATCTTATCTCAGATCAGCAAAAAATTGTATCAACTTTAATTACCATTTCCAGGATTCACCCCTGAGTTATCATTTCATCTAACCAATATAAAAATATTACTTTAAATATTTCATATTAAATATTATATAAAAGGCAAGATATTTTACCAATAGCAAAAGTAAATGTACAAACCAGTCAAGCAAGGCTATTTTGCAAAAGGAGAAATAAGAGTAAACCAAGACGTAGATTTCTGATGATTTAACAACGTGAAGGGAGCAGGATTATGAAGCTACAAGTATCTCTCCTGACACTGGGCAACGCCAACCATTGTTCTACGCAGTAACTCTTATCATCGGGCACAGGTGGACGTTCCTGTTAGGGGCCTGGGAATAAAGCGAGCCGGGGGCAGCTGAGCGAGCATCTCGGTCTCCCACAGTGCAGGCGAGCCTACGTGTAGCCAACACCTGCTCGCCCGGCCCTTGAGGAGACCGAGTCCCCTAGTGCTGACCGGGACCTTAGCCGTGCCAGTCAGGGGCTTACGGAAATAAGAAAGAACCTGGCAAGGCAGGGTCATGTGTCTGAGTTACACGGAGAAGGGGGCCAGTCTGGCTCGAACCTGACAAGCTGTGTCTCCATGACATTCTCAGATGCCAAGCCCAGCACTAGGCAAAGACCAGTATTCTCCAAATGGAAGCTCAGAAACCTACAGGCTTGGTCTGTCCTTAGGGGCCTCCGAGAGGCTCAACCCCCTTCCAAGCAGAGCAGCTCTGACTTTATGCATTAAAAAAAATAAAAAGATAGAAGGTTACCAGGCACCGTGTGTCCTTCATCTGTTTTACACACATAGTTTGAAGGGAAGGTTTCTCTGCCATAGTGAAGTCTGAAGGTAATTTGTGGAGCTCTTTCCACGATAACACCCTGATTGCCTCACTACCATTTGTCTACCGGACAAGCAGAAGGGAAACACCCAGGGGAGAGAACCCTGAGAGGGGCCCGACTGCCAAACAGGCCCCGAGACCTGCGGGACTCCCTGAAGAGGGGAGGTGCTCGATGAGGGGGTCTATCGCTCCCTGGCCTGGCCAGGTTTTCTCTGTAGGAGTCAGACATTCCAAAGGTTGAACTCTTCTGCTGTGGTGAATTCTCTAAAGATTTAATATGTCTTGGAATCAGCTTTCAGCTTGATTTATTACAAGAACAAACATAGGAAATTATATCTGATGTGGACAAGTCTGGACCAGTTAAACAGTCACAAATACCATGGTGCTAATGAGGCCAAAGTTACAGGCACAGTTCACGTGTAGGCCAGCAAACTGTGCCAAGTTCTGGGGCCTCCAAATGCACTCACAGACCCAGCTGGTCATTAAGACATCGACGCTCTCGGTATTAATGTAATTTGTGGGCACGGGTGGGGTGGGCGAGAGATAGGCAAAGAGTCAGAAGAATCCTTAACAAATCTGGAGAGTACCTGTGCCAAGATAAATGTACAGTGGCAACATTTATCCATGAACAGAATACTCTGATGACAACTCATGATCAGCAAAATACTAAACATCAAAGTAAAAGTAATTTTATAAAACTATTGATAAAATAGTTCCTTACTTTCTTAACTATTCAGGCTTTAGTTTTTCATAATAGATCTTTAGGGCTGGGCAGAGGAAAATAAAATGCAAATTAAGTCATCTAAAATACTCACACTTTGTATGTGGTAAATAATAAAGTTACTACTAAAGCTTACAGAGCACACTGTGCCAGGCCCATTTTAAGTGCTTATGTGTATTAACTCATCTAATTCTAATTACCATTTGAGGAAGGTTTAATAATAAACTCAACAAATATTTACAGACTGTTTACCATGGTTTGGGTATCATTCTAGATGCTTAGGGACACTTCAGTGAAAAAAAAGTGATAAAAGTCTCTCTCTTCAGGAATAAAGAAAACTGAAGCATAGGAAATGTTACCCTAGGTCACAGAGCTAGTAGCCAGGATTCGAATCCAGGAAGTCTGGCTCCAGAGTTCTTGCTCTCAACAGCTACATTCTTCTGCCAAAGCTTTCCAGCCCAGAAGAAGGAAGCCTCAAAGAAGAACCTAGAGCCCGGCCAGAGTGGCTCAGTGGTTGAGCACCATCCCATGCACCAAGTGGTCACCAGTTCCATTCCCGGTCAGGGCACATGCCAGGGTTGCGGGCTTGAACCCAGAGTCACAGAATTCTGACACTAAGCTGTTACAGATCACCCAGTCCAAACAGGTGCGTGTGTGCCACACCCCGTTTCCAAACCCGTGGAAGGGGTCTCAGGAGCACAGCACCCTTCCCTGTGAGCCAGGGGCCACCTAGCACCCTCCTCCGTCCAAGCAGCTCGGCTGGCTCCCGTCCTCTTTACATCATCAACTCTCCCGAGACTAAGAACCTTACCCAAGGGCCATGGGCAAGGGACCGCCTGCGACACATTCCCCCCCCCAGGCTTCGCTCATTTCCTCTGCGATACGCTGGTCTGCGCACACAGGGTGTTTAGGGTACAGTGGTCCCCCTGATCCGCAGTCCCACTTTCCACGGTTTCAGTTACCTGCAGTCAACCACAGTCTGGAAATACTAAGTGGAAAACTCCGGAAACCAACAATCCGTAAGTTTTAAACTGCACCCTGCTCTGCGTAGCGTGATGCAGTCTCACGCTGTCCCGTTCTGTCCCTCCCGAGATGTGAACTGTCTCCTTGTCCGGCATCTGCATGCTACACATTCAGTATAAGAAGATACTGAGAGACCACATTCACATAACTTTTATTGTAGTATATTGTTATAACTGTTATTTTATTATTGGGTATTATTGTTAATCTCTCACTGTGAATTTATAAATTAAGCTTTATCACAGGTATGTATGTAGAGGAAAAACAGTATATACAGGGTTTGGTACTATCCGTGGTTTCAGGCATCCACTAGGGGTCTTGAGATGCATCCCCCTTGGATAAGTGGGGACAACTATATAGATTTCTCAGGGAACTGCATACAAGATCACACATATTCCATATACAGTAAGAGCAATTAAAAAAACAAACCAGTTTGACAGTTTTCCACCTCTAATTCAGCAGCGTAAGTTATTCAATGTCACAGATTCTCACTCCAGTTTTAAAAATAAGGTAACCAAACAGGTCTTTAGGCTACAGAGTTTCTAATATATTGTCTCAATGCACAGGAATATATATATATTTAAATCTCCAGTTTGGGAAGTTTATCACTGCACTACTCCCCACCCCCCATCTCTCCATACACATTTTTATATCTAGGACTTTTTAAGGATAGTTTCACTGAAGAAAAAAAAAAAGGGAGGGGGGTAAGTACAGAGAACTCATAAACCCACAGATTTTAATCACTATACAACCCGAAGGGGGTGGGGAAGCCAGGTTTGAGTTCTGGTAACAGTAAAGTCAGGCAGACTTCAAAACTGCAGAGGTGGCCTTATGAGAATGACAAGGCCGGTCCAGGTTGGAGCCCAGCGACTCCAGTAAGCAGGGAGCTGGAGGGTTGTGTGGTTTGAACACTGATGACTGGGGTCAAAGGCACTGGCTTCCTTCTGCTGACATGCTGACAGATGTTCTTGGCCTGAGGAAGCCCGATCTGAGTGGCAGCTCACACGGGTTCATTACCAAATGATTCATGAGCATCTGGGACAAGGAGCTGGTCTGAGTCAGCTTCCCCGAATATAGTGAATCTACTTTATTCAAAATAAATTGTCTAAGAGCTAGAAATCCTTCAGGTTAAACTTGTATAAATACATACGTGTGACCTAGTGATTGTAACCCCACCTCATAAAAAAATCCAGTTATAGGATCAAAAGATGGAACTTTTGGAGATGGTGAGAAGAACTCTGATTACCAGACAGCACTGTAGTAAATCCAGGGAGGACCCGGGTGGAGTTAAGTATTAGACAGAAAATGGGAACGAAATCTATCCAGCAATTAGCATGAGAAGAAAAGTGGGCAGAGAAGCTGCCCCTGAAGGCAGGAGCCAGGTGGGAATGAGAGGTCTGCCTTCTCTTCCTGGCTGTTGGATCTGAGGTGTTTCTTTACAACTACCATGAGGACAAGGCAAGTGGCCTCTTCTTTGGAAAAGGTGTGTTTTGACTGCCTTTGCTAAATTTCATAAGCATTTACCAAAAAAGGAAAAAAAAAGAAAAATCCTCTGCAACCACTAAGTTACACTCATTTGACAAGTACTTATTGAGCAACTCGACAGGGTCCCTGGTGATTTAATACATTTGGAGCCAGAGTGCAGTTAAGTGGCACCAGGAGAACTAAGTGTCCTAAGCACAAAAACAAGCTTTGCTTTAACTCCTGATTTAACCCAAATACAATCAAATCCCTAAATTCAGCCATGCCATGAATGAACTATCAGATCCTTTCTTATAGTCTGTTCTATAAATAAGTCCCCTTCCCACATGCAGACACCTAAGCTCAGGTTGCAAAGTTGGCCTTTTGATAATTAACACAGTTGACACTGGTTTCCCTCAAGATTTTGCTTAGCAAGAAATAAAGGTGAGCATGGAAGAGTTTCTAAGTTTTAAAAGGAAAAGGCGCAATAAAACATGTGCAATGATGCTCCCTTTATTAAAGCCCAAATACTTCCAAATGATTGAAGAGCCAAAGGTCATGAACACCTTTCGAGAAAAAAGCCCACGATCCTTTGCAAAGTCTACATGCATGAGTCCGCCCACAGGCGGGCCTCGGCTTTGGTCCGAGCTGTGAGGGGAGCCGGGGGAAGAGGGGGCGCACATACCTGCTGTCTGTTGTTGGGCATGTGGGGCAGCATGGTGGACACGTGGAACATAAGCTCATAGTCTTTGTATGTGGTGTAGAGGGAGTGCGTTCCTGTAGAGTCAGCTGAAGACAAATAATGACAGAAACAAGTTAGGCAACTGGAAAATTGGTGATCTCGCATTTAGAATGTCATTATTACAAAAGGCAATTCAATTAAAAAAACAAACACTCAACTATAAACAACCAGTATCTTGATGGTCCCCCTGCCCTCTCACTATCTACTGTACTGTGTCTACTGTTTCCAACCAGATCTGCAGCCTTACCTGCTCTCACCCACATGCCTTCTGAGCTCATGTTCCCCCCTTCTGCACTCTTGCCACCTGACTCAGGTGACCCCCAGAGGTGAGGTGCTTCTGCCACGAGGAGGGCAGGTCAGCAGAGGAGGAAAGAAGTGGGAGGGGTGGCGGGTGCAGGTCTGGAGGCAATTATTTGAAGGGTATGAGTTATCCTTGCCCATCCTTGTGAGTGTGTGCATGTTTACAGTTAATTCTTAGTTAGAACCCAGAAAACCAGAAAGGATGGACTTCATATGGAAATGCAAGCAACGTTAAAGATTTCTTCCCCTGAATGATGTAGTTAATGTTCTTCTCTGTTCAACAGGCAATGCAATGATACAGTCACGTGGTTGCGACCATGAGGACCAAATGTGAGCCTTACTGTACATTACGCACTGACACGTACTACAAACCAGGATATCTGAACCCTGCTAATCATACAGCGGTTCATCTTTCGAAAGCAGGGTTAGCAGAGCATTTCAGCAGCTCACAGCCCCTCTGCTCCTGTCCCATCTCATTGTGTATTTGAGAGAAACAACCACCCCACTGTAAAGCTGAAAGAGGCATCCCCAATACTCCAGGCCAAACGCTCTGAATTCCCCTTGTGCAGAAAATGAGGCCCAGGTTTGACAGGAGTTAAAACCAGACCACAATTCTCCTGAGTTTAAGACAGTTTTTGTACATTCTGTGAGAAAATTTTTGTTTGCCTTTTCCATGGAACACCCTTCTTAGAAACCCCCTCTCTACTGAAGGAATGTCTTAGACTTCTTTGCATCTCATGGGATGCTCTGCTCATAAGGTAAAAATCTATGGATTATTTGAAACCAACACGTCACAATCCCATTCTCATGTTATCATTTCCTTGAGCTCAGGTGCTTAGCACTAATGTATTAGGAACCTCCCTCCCTGAGGTCATACAAATTCAGAGCTGATGTCAATTCTATAATAGGAAAGTATCTGCATTATCTAAGTTGTAGTTTTACGGAATGTGCAGGTAACACGTTCTTAAATGCTTCCTCAATCCGCCCCACTGAAGAGAGGTGACAGGTATGCATGGGAACCGTTCCTTGTCATCAGTAGCTTTCTAGGAAGGACACCCTGAAGGGCAGCATGCCAGCACCTCCAGGGCATAGGCATGGTTTGTAGGTAAGGGGAGTTTGCCAAGAAAAATCAGAAAAGGTCTCACTGAACTTTCTTAAAATATGTGGATATTCACAGTGGGTGTTGTATTTATTTCCTTATCTTTACGTATCTGAGGCAAGAGCAATATGCATTCAACATAATGGCCCAACTCCAACCCTGGGGAGTGTGGAGGACACACAGGGGCCCATGGGTGAGCTAACACTGTCTCCACATTCTGTGCTCTATCTGCTCAGTGCAACTTGCAAACCCAGAACTGATAACAGGTGCACGAAGACCTAGTGCCACCCAGATGTAGATGAGTACCAATGATGGTCCCAGTGAGTGGACGCTGCGGGCAGGGAGCTATGAGGCCACAGGCCGCCCTGGTTCCAATGCCAGCTTGGCCACACATGACGCTCCCTCTTCACCGTCCCCACCAGGAGTGGGCTGGACGCTTTCCCAGACCCTCCCACTCCAGACTCTACCTGCTCCTCTGTCATTACAAGAACAAGCAATTCAGTGCTTTGTAACAAGCAAAATTTTCCAAACATACAAAATTCCTCTGCCTGGTGTCTTAGGTGCTGACAGTAACTAAATAATGAACTGAAAGCTAGAATATTTAGAATTTATGAGGACCGCAGGAATATGACCATCTAAATAAAAGTATAAGACAAATCGCCCATTAGGTGGACAGAAACCTGCGCTTGAAACTGGCCAGTCAATCTGGCTCCTGACATGCCCTTGAAAAGTAGGATCATCAACTTTTTAATCACAGCTCCAGCTCCTGAGTTAACATCGTGAAACCAGAAACGAGCAAAGCCAGCCTGAGAGCACGGGATCGGGTTAATATTATGTCTTTTAGACATGACTGCAGTGCTCGCCCTCGGTGAACCAGAACAGGGTGTAATGGAAGAGGTGCGGTTAAAAGAAAGCAGGAGATACTGAAAGATTCTTCAGGAAACACTGGGGCTTCTCCCTGCTGGTGTTGCAGAGGAACAACTGACTCTGAGCTCAGGTGAAACACACACCTCTTGGGAAAGGTGCTCATCTGAGGAATCTGAACCGGATCCCAAAGAAGCTGGCCGGGCCGCTCCTGGGGTCAAGGCGGGCGGGCACGGACGGCTCCTCGGGTTTCTGCGCAGGCCTCCCGGGGAGAATTAAACATGCAAACACGAAGCTTACTTTTATTGTCCAGCTGAGCCCGGTACTTGCTGAAGCCCTTCAGCCGCACGCGCTGGCCCAGCAGGTCGAGGAACTCGTCGAAGGCGGGCCCCGCCCTCTCGTTGTTGTACATCTCCTCCTCCGTGCCCTGGCCGGCTCTGCAGTACAGGATCCCGATCTTGTGCTGGAAGCTCAGCTGAAAGGGGGAGCGATGCGTCACTCATCAAGGAGCGTCAACAAGCCCATTTCCAGGAAAAGCAAAACCATAGAAGCTTAGAGTTTGGTTCTCAGGAAGCTTGCAGGACGGTTCCCATGAGCAAATAAGCAAAAGCTGCAGCAACTGTCATTGTACAAACAGCCAGAAACACATCCAAACCCAGAAAACCCAAATAGCACTGGAGAAATGGCAGAAATCCTGAGAGATACATGCACAGCGTGGCCATGAGGCATTCGCCAAGTTTCCAAAATGAATGGGTAAGTTCAAGCATCTACTCAGAAATGTAACTGGAAATACTTAATCTCACACCCACTGTAGATTAATGAACATTATCTTCCAAGTCAGGAAGGAAAAAGGCCAAGACTTTTAAAAGCTTCCCCTCCCTGGTTCCTAATGTTCTTTTTTGTTGTTATTTGAACACTCATAAAAATATGAAATATGAAAGAGTGCAGTAAAAAAACAAATCTAATTAAGGTCTGGTAAGGCAGGAATCCCAACGGACACTGTGATATATGCATATAAATAGAATAATGTTTTGTTTCCATAAAAGTGACTTTGGCTGTGCAATTAAAGTCATTTCTACATTTCTGACTATCTTGAAAAGAAAACATCTGCTGAGTATACAATGGGCCATGAAGAATGTTAATAGCGATTGAGGAGTTCCCGCTGTAATTCTATCTTGGTGATCCCACATCGGCTGGAAGCACAGGGGGCTTTCTCCCAGGGTCGGGAGAAACTGGATCTGTCTTTAGAGCCTTTTCAATTTTCCCCAAAGAGGAACCACTTCTCACTCACGAAATCAGGGCACTTAATCTTCCCAGCAGCAACCTGAGCCTCAAAACCGACAGATTATCAGACATCACCGATCCTCTCGAGCCATCAACCCATAATGTGGCTTACTTTTACCACCAAGCTGTAAAACAGAGCCTTTGATCAAAATTCATAGCTGACTGTATCAGCAAAATAAGGCAAAATGCTCCTCATTGCCCTGGAGCGGCAGAGTGATAAGCAGCAGTCCCATCCACGTTACCTAAGGACAACACACAAACCAAGAGTGAGGGAGACACCTGCTTGGGGAGTGTGAGTGACTGCAGGACATGGCTCACTGCGCCAGGATAAATTAGAGTCGGCAGGCGGAGTCAACCAGGAAGGTATTCTGAGTGCACCGGGCCCTGACTAGGTGCTGTGGGGGCTGAGGATAGAAGAGGAAACATTCACCTCTTCACAGCCTGACCTGAGCCATGTAAAGATGGACCCTCGGCGTGGCGTGGTGGACCACACACAGGGCTCGGGCTCCTGTTGGAGTGACAAGCTCCTGAATGACAGTGACGATCACAGTTGCGCCCCAAGTGTGTGGACGTGACATGCTGTGCGTGAGCTATTTAGTACCTGGCACTGTGAACCGTACTGAGCCAAGAGAAATTTTCCATTTATTCAGTGACTGAGGAATAAATGTTTCTGATCACCTCAATTATCCAAGTAAACAAGATACCACACTTAGTGCAAATGGACCATCATCCTCAAAACTATTCAGTATAAAAAAATGCCTATTATTATTTCATTATAGACAGTAATTGCTCCTGAGGGGCTCAGAAGACATTTGGGGAACTAAAAGTCCATCAGGGACACACACGAATTAGCAGTCGCCACCACAAAGTGAATTCCTTAACATCACATTGTAAACAGGTATTCATGAAAAGTACCTAAAATGCTTTAGTTAAAAACTGCCTGGCTTGGCTCTGGTCCTACTGTGCTACAGCAACATCCCAAACACCCGCTTCATTCTGCAGGAGACAGCCACCTATGGCTGCGGCAATGTCTCTTGGGGCCTTGAGGGCCTCAGGAGTCAGGCTTGGGGGAAGTGGCCATCTATGGAATTTTCCACGCAGCCTGAAGGGATCCAGCACCTCATCTGCAGGCACTTGCTATGGGCAAGTACAGGGACCTGTTTTAGAGGGAGAACCAGGATGCGCCAGAAACATAAAGGGCAGAGAAGGACCATGTGGGTGACAGGCTCTGCATGGCCTGTCCTGCAACATGAAATGAACACTGTCCTCTCGTGGACCTGCCTGAGCTCTGAGTGCCTGAACCAGCTCGCGCTCCTGCCATGAAGACGTGTTCCCTCAGCTGTTTTGTGGGCATTTCCTGCCTTCCCACACTTTACCAGCAATGATTACAGTAAAACTATTCTGTGTATCATACGACTTTAGAAGTCACCTGCTCTCAGCTAGCATTTTGGTTTGGATCATATTTTTTAACGTCAGCCTTCATTCTTGAGACAGATCTCAGCATAATTCATTCTGAGAGTTACAGAGCCTGCTTCCTTCAACTCATGTGCAGTGGTAACTCATTAGACCAACTACAAGTTCACCACTTTTAGAATTCCAGCCCTGTGAGTATCAAACAGTCCACCAGGAAACCACAGGCAGTAATGCTGCATCAACCAAGCGATAACTCACATTCCCTCAACAACATGCGATGAATCTGCCTTGGGAAATTCTGGAAATATACGCATCTTCATTTTTTAAAGCATGTAGTTAAAAACAAATCCACTAATTTAGAATAAATTGCATACACTTGAGGACCTGCCTCTGTTTCACCTACAAGTTATCTTGCATATGAAACTTAAAGGACCTCTTTCCATCCTCTGGGCCACCGTCCCAATCCTGTCCATCATTTAATTCCCTCCTGGACAATGTCAAGAGTCACATAACTGAGCTCAAGGCCACCATCAGTCTGTTTGACCAGCCCGTTCATGTCTCTCCTCCCAGAACAATCTCCCTAAAATGCAGCTCTGATCATGTCTCCTTCTACTGGGAAACCTTCACTGGCTCCCCACTGCCTGCGCAATCAGCACACGTTCCTTAGCCCAGCACTCAAGGTCTTACATGCTCTAGCTTCAACATATTTTGTTTTTTTCTTAAACTCTCCTACAACAGCCAACTACTCCTCTCTCCCTCTTGGGATTCTACTCACGTCCAAAGGCTCAGGGACAACGCCACCTCCTTCAGGAGATCTGTCCTGCCACGTCCTCTTCCGCAAAGCAGTCTGCATTTATAAACCTCTCCCAGGTCCAGTACATATTCTGCCTTGCAAAGGCCTGTGTGCTCTTGGCCTTACTGTCCCTGTGGCCCAGGAGCAAGGTCTCAGGCAGCTTCAATCTTCCCACTGCCCGCTGTTCACTTCCATCTGTTAGCCTGAGGCTCCACGGCAGACGGGAACAAATGTTAGTTCAGGGTCTAAACCCTGGAAAAGAGGCCCACTGACCCCCAAGAATCACAGGTCAGACATGCCCTTGCTCACTGGGACACACAAAACTCTGGTATGCCCCACAAGGCACAGCTCAGCAGGTGTGTTACACTATAAAGGCATCACGTATCTGAACTCAGAAGAGGCATGTTTGGGAAAAACCAGAGAGAAAATGCTTCAAGGCACTAAAAATAAATGATCTTAAAAGAAAAATGGCTGGAAAGACTCCAAAGCACTTAGAAACAGACGCCACTGGTGGCACAGGCTACGCACCCCCTGCTCATCGAGCTTGAGCAGCTGCTCCGAGACCTTGGGGGAGCTGGCGGCCTGGCGCAGGCACGGGATGCTCAGCTCGGGGACGACATACTCCAGCACTTCCTTCAGAGGCAGGCCCCGCGCGGTGCCGTGCCTGGCGGTGGAGGGGATGGCGTCTTCTAAAATTGCTCCTCTCAGTGTTGTGAGCTGCGGGGACCAAACAGGAGACTTCAGCTAATATTTATAAAAAGGAAAGAAAGGTAAGTCTTTTCTGAGTGGCAGCCAGGCAGGCTGACACGATCCGCCTGGTGCCTGAGGATCGGGGAGGCTGCTGTGGGGAGGAGACTTTCCTACACTCTGGGGACAGCTGAGAAGGGCACTGAGCAGGAAGCGGAGGTCGTGAGGCTGGGCCCGCGGTCACCGCTGTCCTCCCAGGTGTCCCTCTTCTCTCTGCTGTTTCCCATTTCTCCACATCTTCTTTCCTTCCTCTCCTTTCTCTTCTTGTAACTCATCGTGCTGACAATTCCTAGAGTTGAGTGGGGATACCCAGTGACAGCTGCAGCAGGTGACTCAGGGCTGAGACGGCTGTCACTGACGTCTGCCTTGTGATCTGTGACATGTCTTCAAATATGTCATGCAGGCAGGGAACACTATGGTGACACATGCCTCAGCTCTAACATGATGAGAGGCAACCCCAGCCCTGCAAGTCAGGCGCCCTGTTCTAACCCCACCTCCGACTCTCTGGGGAGAGAGTTGCTAGAGTAACAGCAGAGAAGCTCTGGAGGTGGTGACAGGGACTGTCATCTGCACTGTCCCACACAACCTCCTGCAGTGCTGGGACACTCCTTGCCTGCACTGGCTCCTAGGGGCCATGGCCACGTGGCCATGGAACACCTGACCTGCGACTACTATGACTGAGGGACTAAATTTATAATTACTTACTTTAAGTTGAAACAGCCACCTGTGGCCAGTGGCTATGGAATTGGACGGCATGGGTCTGTAATTTACAAGATGTGACTTCAAGAGAGGGGCTTTCTCCTCTATTCATCAGCACAGCACCGGGCAGCGAGCTCATGTGGCACAGGCTCGGGAACTGCAGGTCACGGGCAGAGGGCTGTATTCTGTCTGACCGGCAAGTAGGGCATTCTGGAACGCTTGTCAAATATATTCCCCTCTAATAAAAAAGGTCAAGGGTATAAAACCCAAAGTGTGGCCAAGTCTAACTCTTTATATAAATCATCTCTACCTACGTGGCTAAACCTGTCATGCCATTTGTATAAAATCTTACTTTTCACTCGAAAGACAGACAAGCAAGAGACCGACCTGGGTCCCGATGGAAGGAAGTTTGGGCAGACAGCGACACACTGGCAAAGACACAAGGCAGACCGCCGCCCACTGTGGGCCAGCTGGTTTTCTGTGTTCTATTTCAAACTTGTTTTCTGTTATTTATTTATTATTTATTTATTTATCCATTCATTCATTCTTTTATTTTTTAAATGTTTTTATTGATTTCAGAGAGAGGAAGGGAGAGAGAGAGAGATGGAAACATCAATGATGAGAGAGAGTCATCCATCGGCTGCTTCCTGCACGGCCCCGGCACGTGCCCTGACTGGGAATTGAACCGTGACCTCTTGACTCATGGGTTGGCACTCAACCACTGAGCCACACTGGCTGGGTTCAAACTGATTTTTAAATTCAGATGTGAACTGTAGGGTTCACATTCATCCCTCTGTCTCAGCCCTGAATGCCCTGCATTCTTATCACTTCTTCCTTCCTATCCTGTCAGAAAGTGACATCACTGCCATTTAACATCATTGACACTTACCATTCATGGCAGGTTTTCAAATCTTTTATTTAGAATATGAAGGAGTAGCCCTTTCAATTACCTGAAATGTTGCATTAAAAAAGTAATGAATTAGAAAATAAATGCAATACTTATCTAAAACAACCTAAAGTGTAACATCCGAGGCTCAGCACCGGACAGTGGCCACAGGGCGGCCCCTTACCTCGCTTGTCCTGAAAGCCACCCGGTAGTTGAACTGTGACCCTTCTTTCTCCTTGGCGTCTTCCACCTTCTCCCTCCGGATGCTGACAGCCACGGGGCCGAGGTTCTCGTCTATCCCAAAGTAATTCTGGTGCTCTACAAGGGAGCAGAGCAGCGTCAGAGAAAGGGGCAGGGCAGGGTGGCATCTCTCAGCTTGTATACAAGGGAACAGAGTGGTGTCAGAAAGGGGCAGGGCAGGGTGGCATCTCTCAGCTGGTGCATCAAATCTAAGAAATACCACAGGGATGTGGGTACACGACTCCCCAAATGTGACTGATCGCATCTTGGGTTTCCAAATCCGATGGAGTGTGACAGGTCATTTTCCAGCACTTCTTCCTCTTGTTCCACTTTTCACTAGGAGCCCTCCCCGCGCCCGCCCTGAAGCTGAGATTTTGGGGTTATGTGAAGAGCATCATGGGAGAGTGCATTGCCAACTCAGAAACTGTCAAGAAGAACTGTCTACATAAAGAGCCACTGCTGGGGGGTGACCTTCTGTGACTGAGCAAGGGCCAGAGGTGACCTAACTAGCCACTCAGATGAGCCAGATCAATCCTGGCGACCAGCCGGTGGCAAATATCACCCTTACATCACAATGTCACTAAAGCACCTAACGGTCTAAAGTCAAATTTTAGGGAGAGAGAAAATCCAAAAAGGTCATTCAGTTGCTAAGATCTAATGATATCTACGAATGCTGTAACTTGGCTTACTATCTTGTCAGCTAATTACTTCTTTCACAGACAATCACTGGATAGATGGATCTGAATTCACAAAATCTCACGGAGGGAATGGACCGCGAGGCCGCCTGTCCATCCAGCACAGGACGCCCCGAGGACCTTCTCCCTAAGGCATGGTCATCAGCCTCCTATTCAGGTGCGTGCCAGGCACTGTTTCTGGAGCAAGGGCACAGTGCAGAAAGCATCCCCACCCCTGAGCCAGACCCTCCAGTCTGAACACGGGATGGCGGGAAGCTCACTACTTTGGGAGCAACCCTTCTGGACGTGGCACAATGTTTCCTGAGAGTGAGCTCTGCTAAAAAAAGTAAAAATGCTTCACTCGACCCAAATTTTTAAGTGTTTTCTTCTGAAAGAACCCAAACATGACCATGCAGATGTGGTCTGGCCCGTACAAAACAGAGGCTGCAATCACCCAAACGTGTACCCATGACTCTGACAACCCCCCCCAAGCAAGTGGGAAGCAAATCCCCAGGTGGTATTCATTCATTTCATTTTTTTTTTTTAAAGAAATGATACTTTATTGATTTGAGAGAGAGGAAGGGGGGAGGGAGAGGGGGAGAGAAAGAGAGAGGGAGAAAAACACTGATGTGAGAGAGAAACATGGACCTGTTGCCTCCACACGCACCCCAACCTGGGGGATCAAACCCACAACCTGGGCGTGTGCCCTGACCAGGAATGGAACCGCAGCCCTTCAGTGCATGGCTCGATGCTCCAATCTACTGAGCCACCCGGCCAGGGCTCACTCATTTTTAATGACCTGCTGCCAGGTTAGTTCTCCAAGGTACATAGTTATAAAACTGATTCTTTTTCGCTATATATGCAAAACCACACTTCACCCCTTTTGAATGTCACCTAATTGGTTTGGCCGATCTTCCCTGACTCAGTTTTTAGTTAAAAAGAAACATAGTACATCAAACATTTGTAAGCTTGAGGAAAACCACAGGTATCCTAAAGGCTCTGGGGTATGCAAACGTTTTCTGCCACAATAATTTCTGAAGGAATAAGAAATGTCGCTCAGAAAACAGGGTGAGTTTGATAGAGGAAAAGAGTGCCCACATCCCTGAGAGCAAGCCTGACCCAAAGCCCCTCACGAACACCAGTCCTGAAGGCAGGCCACTCACTTCACCTCCGGCCGCCAAGTCAGACGATACTGACCTCACTACCCTTAGGGCTGTCAGGGCTGACGCAGCACATCAGGTAATTTAGGGGCTGAGGGTAACCTTCTGCAGCTTCTGGAGCTGCGTTCCTTCTATTCCTTGGCTTGTGGCACCCTCCCGTCGTCAAACACAAGCCCTGGATCTTGCTTCAGCAGCCACACTTCATTCCTCACCACACCTCCCTCTGTCTACCTCTTACCTAGACACTTACAGTTGCATTTAGGTCCCACCCAGATAATCCAGAGCAATCTCGCATCTCAAGGCCCTTAATTTAAATCATACCCGCAAAGTCTCTTTTGCCATGTAAAGTAACAGACCCAAGTAACACCAAGGATGGGGCCAGCATTCAGCCCACCAAATACCCTTCAGTCACTCATTCAAATCCTGAGCCTGGGACGTGTCTCAGCTGTGCCAGAAAGGGATGACACTGGGGATACAATAGCAAAGAAGACACAGGGCCTGCTTCAAAAGTTTCAGTCCGTGGGGCTGATAATACAGGAAACAGACAATTACACATTCGAAGTCCTGTGATTGAAATAAGCAGGAGGCATCATGCAAACACTGCAATTATCCAGTATCCGATCAAGAATCCGGAGGAAAATGTCACACAGCGGTCACAGCAGATGTCATGCAGCCCCTTTGCTCCATCCTAACAGAAATACATGTGCACAGTTTTAAAGCGCCAAACTCCCCCCTTCTTGGTTTAGGAAACAGCGGCCCCTGCATGTCCGGCTCCTCCTTCATCCTGTTCCCACAGAATAACTCTCTGAACTCTCCTCACCTGCACACCTAACCCAGGACCGAGACAGGTCCCCCATATAATTCGGGTGTTAGCTGCTCCTGGTGATGATAGGAGCCCTCTGTAGGGACTGCTCACTCCTTTCTTTAGATCTAGTCCAGGTGCTTGATCTTTGTGATAGTGTACATGGTGCGTGTTTAGAACTGACCTTTTATCACCATGACTCTATCTGTACTGAGCCACCTTGCTCTCGCCTACTTCAGATTAGACTGGTCAGGCAGGGGCTCAAGGTTTTTACTGGGGAACCGCAGCTGTCAGGAAAGGCAGGTCTATCTCCCTGGAGCAGGCCAGTGTCCCCAGAATGGTTCTTCCATTCCCTGTCTGCGAGTGTTTAGTCCAATAAAGGAACAGGGCAGCTAGTCCTAGACAAGCACCCCAGTCCTGCCCTTAGCTGGGTTGCTGTTCTATGTCTCCAGGATAAACCTCCAGTTTTCCGCCGGGGTACCTGGACGGAAGGGACAGGAGAGAGGATCGGCCTTCTAAAATATTGACCCAGTCTCCTCCTTTCACCCCCAGCCTTTCATCAGAGATGCCTGGATCTCTGGCACGGACTGAGTAGCCTTTGATGGCCTGTCCCCGCCTTGCAGCACCGCCAGCCCTGGGAGGGGGGGGAGAGGCAGGCTCCAGTCCACAGCATGGGTCTCGCTCTGCATCTGCGGCGGCTGCCCTGCCTTCAGTTGCCTCTCCCTAGTTTTCTTTGCTTTTGTGGCTTTTATGCCCCTTTTCAATTCCTTCATTACCATTTTCTGTGGCGTTCTAGCAGAAGGAGAGGTAGCGTGTCTTCAACTTGCCACCTTTAACTAGCAGCCCCAAACTCACTCACTCTAAAACACAGATAACCCTAATATGCCTGATTATTGGTTTCTGAATCTGGGCCCTTCTACTTCTCATCTGCTCCACCTCGGGTCAGTTACATAACTTTTCTTAACCCCAGCACCCCACCCCACACCCCCAAAAATAATAATATAGTCGTCGTCATTAACCCAAGAGAGGCATTATAGTTGAAAGGAAGCATGTTACCGACAAAAATACTAAATCAAGATCAAAACAGGAGTGACTGTGAACAGCACTAAGGGGCACTCTGACCGGGAGCCCAGCAGTCTGACAGCCCTGAGTCAGCCTGAAGGACAGTCCCACTTAAACTCAAACACTGATCTGTAATCACCCAGAGAGGCGACACGGCACCATTCACGGCTGCCTCTTTGAGAAAGAGGGGGTGCGTATGACATGCCACTGAATGCCTTCCATCAGGAGCTAGAATTTTCAGAACACTGTGAGGACCCAGAATGTGTACGTTACCCTTTCACCGAAGATGGCAGGCAAATGAGTGAAAATGCTTTCCTTTACGCCTCACGCCCCAGCCTATGCCCCACACTCACCCGCAGCTTTTCCTGCTGTCTCACGCAGACACACACGTGTGACTAGAGTGTGTGCCACTCACAAGCATCGCATCTCTGGACCTGCCAGCTCTGCGGCCTCGTGGGTTTTCTTACGGACCTTCCAGGCTTTCGGTCTCCCTGAGGAAGTGGCAGGTCACCTGGGGGGTTGTCTAAGGAACCAGGACCTCTGTGGCTAAGGTAAGGTGCCCTCCAGCTTTCACAGAGGTGAAATCAAGACAGGGTGTGCTCTGAGACTCCAGCAGGAAACCGAGTGAACTCTTCAAGGGACACCCTTCAAGACAGCTCAGCCTGTCCACCTGCATCAGAGACCCGTCCCTCAGTGGGCAGAGGACCATGAGCCCCATCCCCCCTCGGCCGCCCTCCTCACCCGCCAGAGCCTGTCCTTATGCCAAGAACACGATTTCCATAAAACTGCTTCAAGGGTGAATTAAGTAAAATTCTTCCCTGGCAGATGAAAGCTGTGAAAAGACGGGAAAAGCTGAGCGACAATCCTGACATCATGCAAATACATCAGGAAGAGAAAAACCGGTTAACGAGGCTGCAGCGCAGGAAATGAGATTCGGTGGGTCTCCCTGCTGGCACTGGGCTGTTCGGTAAAGAAGAAAAAAGCAACTCTAACTGGGAAAAGGGGAAAAAAGGCTCCTGGAATAAGCTGGAAGGGAGATGTATTAGGTGCATCACTAAGGGACAGAGCAGGTGAGGATCACACCTCTCCAGGGCCTCCTGGGGTCAGGTACACCTTCCCTGACTGCTCATGGCGTTAGCACCAGGCACACAGCACCCTCACCAAGTCCAGGACTGGGGACAGTGCCCGAGGCCTCCGCTTGGTTAACATCCGCAGCAGCTTCCTATCTAGGTTTCCATAAAATGCAGCTTCAAGTTCTTTGTTCTTTCAATAGCGGGTGGATCATTTCAGCTCACAGCCTACCTGGGTTCCACGTGGCTGCAGGCGGCTGTCTGAATTCCTGCCTAAGAAGTGTCTTCTTTCACCTCTCCCTCCAACAAC